GAGAGCTCCATGTTTTCTCAGGTGGTACAGAGGATAAAAAGTTTGAGAACCACTGGTCCAGACCTAATCCTGGACTCAACATTAATCACAGAGTCAGGTCCAGTTCTTTACCTCGACATTAAAGCTTCGTCCTTCCTTCACTGTAGCCCCTGAGTTCTATTCCATTCTTTCTGTTTTGATTTTCCTTTGTCCTTTTTTAACGTTATTGCTTCGTGACATTAGATATTTTGATGAAATGCTATAAATGATAATGATTGTTAAAGTATTGTTTTTACAGAATGCATTAAGAATCATGGTTTTTGTTTTGTTTTTTCATGTTTTTCCTTTCGGCACGTCTGAGCCACAGGTGTGTGTTTACGTGTGTGTGCTTGTTGTTGTTCACATGTCTGTGATTTTATGTGATTTTTATTTGTTTTTTGCATCACGTTCGTCTGATCTCCGTGGCTGTGTTTGTTGTTGGGTGTAAATACTGTAGGCCTGTGTACATTAGCTGTAACATAGTAATAACATCATGACTTGAATTAAACTGAGGGCTTGTGATCCACTCATGTCTGCTCTGTGAATGTCTGTGTGTACTGACATCTACTGGTTAGAACGTGAACTCCACCTGAGGCTAACACTTCGACGTGAACTTTGTTCCTTCAGAGAGAACAAATTAAAAAATAATAATCTTTACTTTGTTTTCACCAGACACAGGAACATCTACTGTGACTCTGCCTTTTCCTAATTTAGAATTCATCTGTATAAGACAAGGATTCCAGAAGTGCACGAGCTGCCACTAGGGGGTGTGTGAGATTAAAAAAGTGGGGGATTTTGAGTGTTTTAAAGTGGGATTTTCCACACAATAAAGACGAGTAACTAAACATTTCTTTTGGAAAACCAAAAAACTGACAATAAATAAATTCAGACTATAAAATAATGTGGGGGATTTTGAGTGTTTTAAAGTGGGATTTTCCACACAATAAAGACGAGTAACTAAACATTTCTTTTGGAAAATCTAAAAACTGACAATTAATAAATAAATTCAGACTATAAAATAATATGAATTATATAAGAATACGTAATATTCTTATGTGATATGTGATTGTGCACGATTGCTTTATATAATCCACACAATAAAGACGAGTAACTAAACATTTCTTTTGGAAAACCAAAAAACTGACAATAAATAAATTCAGACTATAAAATAATATGAATTATATAAGAATAAGTCTGTGATTGTGCACGATTGCTTTATATAAAATCAAACGGCATTAATGTGACGTAAAATGTAACTGTTTTTACCTGTGGTCCAGGAACAATAATAACAACAGTGGGAGTGAACACTGGTGTTCCCATGTCAGTGGCAGCTGTGTGTGGGGGGGCTGGGGGGGGAGGGGGGGGGGGGGGGGGGGGGGAAAAACAAGGGGGGAGAAAGGC